GCTGGGATTACAGGTGTGAGCCACCGCGCCTGGCCTACCCAAGTCAATTTCTAACTTAAAAAATTTCTGAATGGCTCTACCATGCTAGGAGAAAAGATAACGTACGGCCCTCATTGATCTGGCCTTGTCTTCTTTTTCAGCCTCCTTCTTCTTCCTGCCTATATCACAGTTTAGGTGCCAACAATAGAGAACTACTTGTAGTTCTAGATTAAACCATTTTCTTTGGGTATCCCTGGTTATATTTTTCCATATATAAAGAATGGGTCTTTTTCTTTATGTTCCTAACCAATTTAGCTCCTTCATATTTAGACTACATAAAAATATTCTAATTATAAAAGTTTAAACAAAAAGTACATGTCCACAGAGGCAAAAAAGAACTCCTTTATACCTCTCCTACTATTATGTTCCCTCCCCCAGAGATAAACACTATCAACAGTAGGGCAAAAATCTTCCCAATACCTCTGCCATAAATTTATATGTGTGTAAACATATATACACTATCACTTTTGGGGTTCTTTTTGTAAAGCACAAATTAATGAGATTATTCTAAATGAAGTATAATGTAACTCTTCCCTTCTAACACCTGAAAAATATTCCACAGTATGTCTGGTTCATACTGTGGTTCATTTAATACTATTCTCTTAACAGATGTGCACTTAAATAGTTGAAATTAACAATTTTTTAAAAATTTTCCCAACATCATGAAAATAAAACATTTTGTCACTGCTTTAATTTATATTTCCTGATTACACATGAGACTGAAAATATTTAGATATATTTACTGGCATTTGTATTTCCCCTTTGGTGAACTGCTTATTTACATTCTTTGCTGGTATTTCAAATGTATTCATTAATTCAACCAATATTTATGGAGTGTCTAGTATGACTCTGGCACTATGTTACATACCAGGAATATAAACGTAAAGAAAAAGAAATACAGAACTTCCCTTCAAAAAGTTTATAGTCTAGTAAGACAGTCACATTAAATACACAAATAAATGTAAAGCTGTGGTAGGTCCTATAACAGAATTAGATGGTGTCTAGGATTAACAGGAAAAATGGATTTAGTGAAGTCAGAAAAAGGATTCTCTGATGATTATGCAGGCACTAACAAAAGAGAACAGAAGAGCAATGTGCTGTAGGTGAGAAAGAACAAAATAACGTCCTGTGATAGGAAGAATGTATAGCTGGATGGAGGCCCAGTTCATTTTCCTTAGAATAAATGAAATAATTGATCAATCTCTATATCTTTTACACACACACACACACACCCTCCCTCTAACAGTGGTTACCTCTAAGAGATAGAAGAAGAGAGATTTGTATTGGTTGTTTTGTGTGTTAACCAAGTTTGCTGTAATAAGTTTGTTCTGGACATGTGTATCTGATCACAAAAATGGCTACTGTACCATTTTGCAGTTTCATGTTTTACATTTAAAAATATGTTGTAAAAGTTCTATGATCTTTATGGAAATTCTACAAACAGAAGTTAGACTTGAGGTATTTTTTTCTGTTTTTGTAGTTTTGAAAATGTATATAAAACTAAAAAGAGTATTTCCTCATATACTACAAATAAATAAATGAGTCTAAAGCAGAAAGGTAAGATATAGTGGAGTCTTGCTGTGCTATGCTCCGAGAGAATACGTAATTATTCTCCTAGGCAAAATTCCAAACAATTAGGACTATTTACATAAAAATACATCTATTCGGCTTGGGTATCAGAAATCATTCAAAGGATACAAAGATTGAGAATAAAAGGAGTATCTCAGAATAGCTACACAGCTTGAAGTACAGGAAGCAGAGTTTCAAGGAAATACTAGGTCAAAGCCAAATACAGATAATACAGAATTTATATAAACAGGAAGGATGTTAAGAGAAACCAACAGAGTAAAGTACCAAAATTGCTGGCAGGAAGCAGGGTTCAAAGCAATCCTTGAGCCAAAAGATTAGGTATGTGTGTATGTACCTATGTATGTATGTATTTATGCATGCATATACACAATTCACAAACTTCTCCTGCACTCCAGAACTATTACTTGCAAATGTAAATGTTACAAAGGCACATTTGAAAAAATAATAATAAATAATAATAAACAAAACCTCACGGATTGATTAATCCTATGGTGGATTAATTCTTATCTACCATAAATAACCTCCAAAAGCAATTCAAAGGTTGGATGAGTGAAAAAAGCAGAAACTTTTATGCTCTGCAGACTTCGGATTCAGTTCCCACCTCTGCCTGTTGACACCTGTATGACATTCAAAGATATAGTTGAGAATAATACATTATAGTTATGTATTATTTAGTTATAAGTTATATATATATACCTTAAGCAACTAAATTCTAATTTACAAAATTACTTTACAGGGCAATGTGAAGTTTAAATGAGTTAAAAATAAAATTAAAGTACTATCTGTTGTCATATGTAAAATTATCACATTTAGAAAGCAATGTTTCACTTTGGTAGGCCAAGGTGGGCAGATCACCTGAGGTCAGAAGTTTGAAACCAGCCTGGTCAACATAGCAAAACCCCAACTCTACTAAAAAAATACAAAAAAATTAGCTGGACGTGGTGGCGCACACCTGTAATCCCAGCTACTTGGAGGCTGAGACAGGAGAATCGCTTGAACCCAGAAGGCAGAGGTTGTAGTGAGCCGAGATTGTGCCACTGCATTCCAGCCTGGGTGACAGGGCTAGACTCTGTTTCAAAGGGTGGGGGGGGGAGGGGGGAACAAAAAAGAAAGCAATGTTTAAGATAATGTGAAGAAAACTACAGGTATCTGGAATATGAGAATTTCACTTTGAGAGACCCTGGAGATACTGAAAATAGACATCTAGATTTCCTTCAGAACAAAAGCTGGGGTATTAGAAGCTACTTGTGTGGCTGTTAATTAGGAAAAATATGCCATACTTATTCTAAGATTCCTTGGAAAGAAAAAAACAACAGATTTCACATAGGTATTCCAAACTGAAAGTCAGAAGATTGAGCTACTTTTCAAATGAATAACCCTACTGAGTGCTTCAGGGTAACAAAAATCAGGCCTATATTTTCTTAACAATAGTTAATAATTTCCTTAAGCAATTCAAAGGTAGTCAACGTAAGAGATGCCACCTAGTACAGGATGAAATTCTTTTTTATCTTTATTTTTGAAGAGACAGTCTCATTCTGTTGCCCAGGCTAGAGTGCAGTAGTGCAATCATAGTTCATTGTAACCCTGAACTCTTAGGCTCAAGCCATCCTAACTGCTTCAGCCTCCCTAGTTGCTAGGAATACACAAACATACCACCACATCCAGCTAAACTAAAAAAAAAAAAAAAATTTTAGGGATGGGGTCTCCCTATGTTGCCCAGGCTGGACCCAAACTCCTGGCATTATGCAATCCTCCTACCTTGGCCTCTCAAAGTGCTGGGATTACAGGTGTGAGCCACCGGGCCCAACCATGAAATTCTTAACAAATTGTAGAAATGAAAAATGGTAATCTGACAGATTTAACTGAGATGTATAATAGTCTAGAAACTCAGATTTGGTCATTTCAGATAGATAAATGAGTAAGCTTCCAAATCAAGACATGATCCAAAAGAATTTTTACAAAATTATTTATGTGCTAACTGGAAAATCTAACAAAAGGTGTAAAGTTAACAAAGCTATTGGTTGCAATGTCAATATGGTATATTAGATAAACAGGTGAGATTCTGTGTTAACTGACTTTGGAAGACAAATTTTGATAGTCTCCACTCTCTTCTGAGTTTTGTCAAAAACCAAACCACAGACGCAAACATTTAAGAAAAGGAAATAGCTCATTTAAAAATTCTAATCTCTTAAGAAAAAATTTAAGAAAAACTTTGTCTTTAAATTAGAAGGTAATGAGAACTTAGTGAAGAGAGACAAAG